GGTTAACCCTGCTCCATAATGCTCACATCGTCTCATTTTGGGTAAAAATTAAAAAAAATAATACTAAAGTACTTTGTAACGCAGTAACTTGAGTAGTTTTTCAGCAAACTACTTTTTTACTCTTACTTGAGTCATATTATTTTTCAGTACTTTTACTTGTTCTCAAGTAAATTATTCCTTAAGTAGCAATACTTTTACTTAAGTACAATTTCTTAGTACTCTTTCCACCACTGCATATAGTCTAACATCATTTTATAAAGAAAGTGCATTATTTAGAAAGTGTTGGCTATAGATCTTAAGCTGTGCACTGGGTAGTACGTTTTTATCTATTACAATTTGCTTTTAAATCATACTTCGCAAGGAAGTATGATCAGCTCTGTTTAACCGCAACACATCAACTGACAGACTTTTTCAACGTTTTCAACCTTAAATTGCCCACAACTTGATTCAGTTGAAGTCATCAAATCACAAAAAATCCGTGTTTGTTCAAAGGCATATCTAGTCCAGGCCTAAATTATAGGTTGCGTGTTCATCTTGGTTGACAAAATATGTTGCAGAGTTACAGCCACTAATTCAAAACACTAATAACATTCAACGTTATTAATTATCAAAACCAAGAGATTACGCTAGAGGAATTTATCAAGTGTCTTTATAGGTACCACAAAAATCTAAACCGATTCAAAAAATCAAACGGCAGCTGACAGCAAATGTATCTTGTTTCCTGACTCTCCCAGTTAGAGAAAAAATGGCAACTCACTCGAGAACCCGCACAACTACGTGTACACTGCCCAACTAAAGGCAATGTGTTCCAAATTCGAAACACTACGGTCGACGTGAATCTCAAAGCAACTATAAAGAATATAAAAGTTACTCACCAAATACTTCCAAATACTGTGGGATACTTCCAAAAACTAACCGTCAGTGGTTGTGTCAGTACGTGTGCGCGTCATCATACACGCCAGCATAGATAACGTCACTATATGGCAAGCCATATTAACATTTGAACGATTTGAATAGTTTTCTATTGGCAGTGAGCAATGCGTGCTGTTTGTGCGCCCAGGCACCTTGTGTTTTAGCCACCTGCTGTGCCTCAAGTTTTTGTAGGAGCACTCTCAGTGCCTGAAGTAAAAAAAATCAACTGAGCAGAAACCCTGCTGTTTCTAACACAGGCTGTGTCCGAAATCGCCCCCTATACCCTCATTCACTATTCCCTACATTAGGTCACTAATTCAGTTCACTAGAAGGAGTGAATGAAAACGAGTGAGTGAATTCGGACAATGAGTGCACCGGAAGGACTGCCGCTTTTGCATTGTTGGTGCTTGCTGTTTATTAATCATTTGAAACTGGCAAACTAGCAGCTCCAGTAGTAAGATTAAAGGATTTATCTTGAACTCTGTCACGGAAAATATGTACAAACCCTAATTAAACAATTTAATAATCAATTTACAATGAATTTATACCTGTGTTGTACATTATGCTGTACGCCATGGATGAGCACTTTGTAATATGAACGGATTGATTATTCAGCTGCGGGCGCCATCTTCTGGAGAGATGCGGGAATTCATTCGGCGCGTGACTCTCACAGTGCATTATGGGTATTCTCTAGCCATTGAGCGTGCACCAGTTGTACACTCGTTTTTGCGGTGCATTGTGGGATTGAATGAGTGCACTCGAGAACGTCCACTATGGTTGGCCAATAAAAATGGCTGTCCCCTCAAATAGTGCCCTATTTAAGGGTATGGGGGCGATTTCGGAAACAGCCACATAGTCTGTCTAACTGTCTAACTGTTTCTCCTCTTAATCTCATCCATATTCAGGGCCTGAGTGGGACTCATTTTCAGCCCTGAAGTTTCATGCCTTAGACTGGCCAACTTATTTTTGTATTTTTTTTACTGGCCTTTTCAGTGGTGCTTTCTATTATCCATTTTTCATCTATTATTTTTTGCTCGCATATCTCCAACAACTGAGGTTGTTTTTTTTTTGTTTTTTTGAGCAAGGTGCCGCTGTCAGGGGAGTCAAAAGATAATTACACCATCATCACCATCATCAATTAACTTCAGAAATGGAAAATAAGGGACAATTGTGATTCTTTATCTTTTATTCTTTAAGAAAATAGTGTTTATTCTTGTATTCTTGTAGAAAATAAGTGTTTGTTCTTTAAGAAAATAAGAGACAGAATAAGGGATGCTCCAAATATTTGTACTGTACCATAATGTATGTCTGCCTACAGTCAAATAGTTCTCAGAAATAATCACAATAGTTTTGCTTAACCTATTTATGTGCAATTATTCTAAAAATTATTTTAATGTCATACAAAAAAATGTCATCGGCCTGAGTAAATTGTACCAATATAGAATTGTGACTTCACAAGTGTAGTAAGTTAGGAAATCACTCATTGAGTGATTACACGAGACACTATACATTCAGTAAGTTGTAGTGTATCTTTCAGCATTCCCTTGGATGTTCATTCATGTTTATTTCATGCTAATTAGAATGCACTCCTGCTTCGCTTGAACTGAGGTAAAGCGGGAGAGCACGTGAACCGTCACGCCGCTAAAGAGCTCCAAAACTGTATTTATCATTTTAAATTCTTAATAAAACTAACAGAATTTGAATGCTGAGACTTTGTTTCCTATTATCAAAAGTAACCTGGTCTGCCTTGTCTGTCAGCGCATTGTCTCTGTCCTCTTTACTCTGCGATGTTTTTCACTCCGTAAGAAAATCCGTAAGCCAGTGCCCCCCTGCCAACAAGCTTGGCCCCCCCCTAAATTTGGAATCATATCACACCAAACAATTTTGGGTGAAATGCTGCAGTTTGTCCTGTAAACTATGCATATAAAAAAAAGAAAATCATCACCAGCAGCTAAATTCAAATCTGCGTTCGCTGGCTGGCACAGAGCCAGAGACACACACGTTTTTAAAGCGCTGCGCATTATAACCAATCCCATACTATTATGTTGAGTTTATGAATACAAAGACCAATCAGAGGCGTTCAGGTGAGTCACCGCTGTTTCGTCACTGCGCGCGCTGGCTGACTGAACTCTGGCTAATTATCTCATCAGAAACAACAAAGTGAAGATGTACGAATGTAAGTAAGATATTAATTTTACAGTGTAAACAGCTTTAGAGATTAGCTGGGAGTTTTTGAGAGTGCTTGAATTCGCTGGACTGAAGTGAAAATGTTCTTTGATAGTGTAAACGTTCTTTGCTCTCTTTTTGTACAATGAAAGTGTTATAGGCTAATTAGTAACTTACTATGTTTTTATTAACTTCACATTAAATACAAAGTCAGTCGTATTAAATATATTTAATGGTATGACACCATATCTGGTACTTAAGTAAAAAGACGAATTTTTATGCAAAGTTAATAGATTAATACTATTAGGCTACTTTACTGGAGAACTAACATAATCTATAAAGGTGCAAAATGCATTTACTTGCACATATTTGAGAATCGAGATATTTCATGATATATTTTGAGAATATAAAACAATAATAATAATAAATAAATAAAATGTTTTATTCACCCCTGCTGAATAAAACATTAGACACCATTAGAAAATTTGTAATGTTTTTTTCTTTTTTTTTCAGTAGAGACATAAGCCTATATCTGCGTATTACGGAGCCCGGGAAGTCATCTGTAGGAGAAAAAAAAACAATCCGTGGCGACGGTTTTGCAATCCGTCCCCTCAGTTTATAAACCGTACTCACGAATTCTTAAACTGTTCCCTCGGTTTAACAAATCGTGCCCTACAGGTGACTTCCCGGGCTCCGTAGTACGTGGCTACTGTGTGTCATATGACAAGCATGAGAGCCCCAACCCCCACCCCCCTTTATTCGTGCCACCTCAAAAATTATGCCTCTGACACTACAATACAAAATTATTTGTCAAATAAATTAAACATGATGAAACATTCATTTTAGTTGAAATTGTTATAGATTGCAGTGATACATGACATGGTGAAAAATGACTGAATGAATAATAGGCTACTTAAAGTAGTTTAAGATTCATTTTAAAATTGTGCCCCCTAAAAGCACAAGTGGCCCCTGTCTGGCCCCCCGAGTTACTGTGGAACATGCACATGTAATTTGTCTTGACGTATTGGTGCTAACAAAGACATTAAACATACAAGAAATAATAATAATAATAATGTAAGAGTTAAAAATTAAAGAATTTTATTTTTGTGTTGGAAATGTCCCATTCATTATGACGGGGTGGAAGGCGAAAAGAAGAAGAGAGGAGGATGTGTAAATAGAGAATAAAGTTGGGGGGTAGGGGGGGTTGAAACCTAAACATTCAGTTTTAGCCCCGAAAACACCCACAAGCGCTCAAGCAAGTGTTACAATAATAACAATAATAATCTTAAGATAAATATTGTGAGGTGAGATAGGTAAAGGGAGAGAAAGATAAGATTAAATAAGAAGCAGAAAAATCTAAGTATATTATCTGTACATTTGTGGGGGAAGTGTGAAAGTGGGGCATTGTAGACGTTCATAGTTGAAGTTGTTAAGGTGTACATTAGTGCAAGATGTGCAAAATGTGCCAGTGCAAATGCTCACAGTTTGAATTAAAGGGGTCATATGATGCTTTTTTAAAGATCAGTATTTGGTGTATTTGGTGTAACAGAATATGTTGACATGCTTTAATTGTTTACTGGCCATGGGGGCAAATAAGAAATCATGAGGGGTCATTGGAATTGTTGTTGAGGGCAGTTGCAGATGGGGAAAAAAATGTTTTTGTGGCTTGAGGTTCTGGACCCATATTTATCAAGCCTCTGAGAATTACTCACAAGAACACTGCTAAGAATTGACTTAAAGCTGCAGTCCGTAAGTTTTCCTCTTTGTCGCCATCTCTGTTTGAAAACCTGGAATTGTAACTGTGTGCGGAATTATCTAGCTTATCTAGCCGGCACGGCTCCAGCGCGGATTAATCTAATGTTCTGAAGAGTATGTGTGGCAGTCAGTCACCGCACCGGTGTGGATATTTACACCCAAAAAGCAAATTATGCTCCCTTCGAACTGGTTTTCTTTAAAATACATATCTTTGTAATCCCAGGCTATCTGTAATCAGAAGCACATTTATAACTGGAATATAATTTGATGATATGCAAGTAAGATGGCGCCGTACACGGCCGCCTCAGTGCTTGGCTCCAGTTTGTACTGTTTTTGTTCGTTTTTCCTGTTTTTTGTTTCTCAAACACGATCAGTTTTACCAGGGATGAACTGCTGAACATTCGGCAGAACACACCACAAAATCTTCTACCGGATTTCGATTATTCGGACGTTTTGCTGAACGTTGTAGTTGGCGGAGAAGCGGCGCTGATCAATCGCTTCAGGACGCGCAGACGGGGGAAGAGAGCCGGCGTGCTCGTGTTTTTCAAACTGCTGCTCTGTGTTTCACATATGCTACATCTGCCCGGCTTTCAGCTGTTTAGAGCAGACCACGACGCAGAATCAACGGGGAAATCGCGCGGCGGCAGGACATGTTTTTACATCAACGAAAGGTGGTGTACAGATGTTACAGCATTAAAGAAGATGTGTTGTCCCGATCTAGAAGCGCTCTTTGTTAACTGCAAGCCGTTCTATTCGCCGCGGGAGTTTTGCTCGTTCATTCTCGTGAGTGTTTACATTCCTCCGCAAGCGCACGTGAGCTCAGCTTTACAGAAACTCGCTGATCAGATCACAGACACAGAACAACAACACCCAGACTCTGTTATAATCATTCTTGGGGACTTTAATAAAGCAAATCACCCGCCAGAGACGGTAATATATTGGATCACTGTTACACCACAATAAAGGATGCATATCGCTCTGTCCCACGGGCAGCTTTGGGACGCTCTGATCACTGTTTAGTTCATCTTATACCGACCTACAGGCAGAAACTGAATTCAGCTAAACCTGTATTAAGGACTGCAAAAAGATGGACTAATGAAGCAGAGCAGGATTTACTTGAGAC